CTCTCCCCCCGCGGCCGATGCTGCTCCCTGCTCCCCTGTCCCTAGCGACAATCTCAGATATAAATGACCTGCCATCACTCGTCCGACGTCTTGCTATCCCCATCCCTTACTACACCTGCACCCTCGCCTCGGCCCTCGACCACTCCCTTCGTATCACGCCCTCCTTACGACCACTGCCATGCGTTTCTCCTCCATCCTTGCGGTTGGCGCCGCCCTGAGTGCCGGCCTTGTGGCGCCCGTCACCGCCTCGCCCACTGTCATGAGCACGATCCCCAACCACATTTCGGAAAATGTTCGTCGCGAGCTGGCAGCTCTGCCTGCGGAGGACTACACGATCTACGAGCGCGACGTGGGACCCTCGTCGTCGCTCGCCAAGCGAGGAGCTCAGATCTCGGGCGTCCAGACTCGCTGCACCTCCAAGAGCTGCCTCTCCATCACGTTCGACGACGGACCGTACCAGTGGGAGCGCAAGCTCGTCGACACGCTCGGCGACGCCGGTGGCCAGAAGGGCACCTTCTTCGTCAACGGCAACAACTTCCGCTGCATTTATGAGGATGCTCAGGTGCAGAACCTTCGCTACACCTACGAGCGAGGCCACCAGATCTGCTCGCACACCTGGGGCCACCCGGACATCAGCACGCTCAACAACGCTCAGCTCGACCAGCAGGTCCAGCTCGTCGAGGATGCCCTCTGGAAGATTCTGGGTGTCGTTCCGGCTTGCTTCCGTGCGCCATATGGTAACATCCGACCCGACCAGGTCAAGTACCTCAACGACCGATGGGGCTATGTCATCGTAGGTTGGAACGAAGACACTGGGGACGCCAATGGCGATGGTGTTGAAGCCGGTCTCAACCTGTATAGGAATCTGAAGGCTCCCAAGCATGCGATCGTGCTGAATCATGAGACAGTCGCCGGTACGGTGGACACCGTGATCCCCCAGGCTGTCAACATTGTGCGCCAGAACGGCTACAAGGGCAGCCAGACCGTCGCCACCACTCTCGGCTTCAACCCTTACAAGGTGGTCGGAAAGTACGGCACTCGCGATGGCTCGTGGACGTGCAACGGTAAGCCCCAGCCCGGATCCAGCTAAATGGCCGCGACTGGCTCTCCCGCTCAGCTTTCGTTCCGGCGTCCGGGCCCCTGGCTTTCCGTCAAGACGGGCCGGGTCGCCTTTGCTTTCTCGTCCTCTCGGCTTGAGCTTCACATCGCTCGCCTCTTCGCTTTCTTCATATCTTTCACGTCATTTCCTCATGCTGCACCATAGACGACGTAAACCTTTAAAGATGACGCTTCCGTTTGTGATTGAACGATTCATCTGTGCGCTGCCTATTGCAGTCTGCGGAAAGAGTGCAGATTGCTGGCCTATCTTGTTGGGGACCGCCACTGATATTGGCGCTGTGCGTGCTCAGCGAACATAGTGACCGTAGTTGAGGTACATGGTGGTGAGACTCGAGGCTGTCGTAGGGACACAGAGATGGGTAGCCATGAAACAGTCGTAAGTACCGTTTCTGAGATGAACAGGCCCGGTGCGATAGCGAGGGCACTTACAAGCGACAATCAGGGGGCTGATGATTCCGGGACTGAGCTTGGCGGTCCTGTAGACGAACGTCTCCGAGACAAAGTGGACGAGGGCGATGACGAAAGACCACATGCAGAGCTCGTAGGCACTTGTTGACATCGGAAAGCGAAACACTCAAGCAGAGAGGTCAGCAGAGGGGGTGTGGGATACGGCATGGGCAGAGGCGGAGAGGAAGCAACTTACACCTTGTCATGGATGTTGTAAGCTGCATAGGTTCGGATGATGGCGGCGGTGATGTTCCAGATACCAAAGAGGCGGCCGGACAGCGGGGTGACTGAGCGAAGATGAGTCGCAGAGGTGCGGGAGCGCCGTTGAGAGACGGAGAGGCACGACGTCAGCAAAGGCAAGATGTCGACGCGAACACCGAGAGGACCTATTGGCCACTGTGAAGACCCGCGAACTTACCTTGTGCGCCTCCGTTGGAGTAGACCTTGAAGCCAGCCGTGTGTTTGAGGAAGTTGCTCGCGCCGTAAGCGTACGCCGTGGCAGCGACCAGAAGCAGCCATCGGGGGAGAAGGCCCTCAGGGATCCCTGCCGAGTTGGATTCGAACGTCAATCACTGGACCAAATGGCAGTCGTAATACATGGACCTGCAAAGTTGTGCTTTGCTACACTCACACTCGCTGATCGTCGACATCTTGGTGATAGGCTCGAGGTGTGTGCGCAGTTGTGTTGGGAGCGGGACAAGAAGGTTGCGGGAGTACGTCGGGCACAGGAAGAAAGCACGCGTTGACACTCGAAAGCACACGCTGCTGAGCTCGGAACGCGGGATTGGATTTTGACAGTTGCGGGGCCAACAAAGCCACTCAGATGCGGCTCAGTCGGAGTGGACAGGGCGCGTCAGGGTCCAGGCAACAAACAAGCTTCGCATGCAATCCGCCTTTCCTTCTCGCCTCCGCTATCGTCACAAAGACGTCACAAAGTGGCAAAGGCAGCCCTCTCTATCATCACATTACTTGGCCCTCAGAGCTTTGAGCTTCGAGCCTCCTTCAGAATGCTGATCCAACTAGCGCCGAGAGCGAGCTAGTTCCGGTCCGCACTCCGATTCGCACTCTGCTGCGCATACAGTCAAGCCCCGCATCACCAAATCATCCACCCTCGACGCACGAAACACCCATCCTTCACCAACCCTCTCATGCTACTGCGCCACCACTGATTCTCGTGGCCGGAAGCCTCATCATCATGTTAACGAGCGTGACGATGGCCGAGGTCATCGACCCGGAGACTGCAGTCCTCCACATACCCAAGATGATCCGGCAGGATGAGTACGGCTACCGCACCAGCGTTGAGGCAAAGGATGTCGCTCCGCTCAGCCACATGCCCCTCAACGAGCCGTTTCATATATCCAGACCAGGCACAGCAGCATCCTCATTCGTCCTCAAGCGGTTTGCGGAGGGCTACTACATCTGCTCTTGCCCCGCTTGGAAGTTCAGCACGGAGCGAGACAAGATGCGCAAGACTTGCCAGCACCTCATGGATGTGCTCGGAGAAACTTACGAGACGGAGCGTATCTCTCTTGCTCAAGAGGCCAAAAGCACCATCTGGGAGATCAACAAGTTCCGCAGAACCACCTCGCAGGGACATCACACCCGCCACATGCACGCCAAAGGTGTGCTCGACGACCACTTTCGTCAGCTCTCGCAAAGCCAACCCGAGCCATCCACATCAAACTTGGAAAAGGCCAAGGACCCCTCAGCCTCAGAAAAAGCAGGCAGCGAAGCAGGTCCCAGTAAAACCTCGCAGCGTCGCGCCAAACCGGCCAACGACAGCGAGACAGAGACCGAGACCGAGGACGAGATTCTCCACGAAACCCAGCCGACACGTGCAGCTTCGCCCTCGCCCGCGGTCCCGAAGCCTGCAACAGCTGCTGCTTCGCTGAGTAGGTCTCGACCTGATGACCAAGATGAAGACGAGGACCGGGACGCATTCGACCCTGACAGCGTACACGCGTCGCCCTCAAAGCGTGCCAGGCGCGGTAGAGCTTCAGCGTGCGACGACTCCGACGACAAGGTAGGCTGGCGGTCCTCAGCTCTCGTCCTCTTCCTTTCCTTTCTTTCTGCTCACCCATCCGAGTTTCTCTGTGCCAATTATAGATCTCTTTGCTTTTAGCGAAACCGTGGCTGTTGGAAGCCGACCCATCCAAGCCTCGATCCAAAGCCATGGATCCCACCAACTGGTGGGTTAGCGAGAAGCTCGACGGGGTGAGAGCTTTCTGGGACGGTCAGAGGCTCTACTCTCGTCAGAAAATCGAGTGGAACGCACCGACATGGTGGAAAGAGCGTGAGTCGCAGTTCAGCAGCGCCTGCCATCGCCAAAACACGAAAGATCTGACCGCTTGTTCCTGTTCTTTGCTCAGGCCTGCCGAAAGACATCACTCTCGACGGCGAGCTGTGGATGGCGAGGGGCATGTTCTCTCAGACGTCGCAAATTTGCCGTACAACTGTAAGATTGGGCCGCTTGCGAACCTTTACCCACTTTCTCCAACGCGACTCGATGGAGCGCCAGTGGCTGCGCGAACAGCTCGGCGGGCGACTCGCAAGCCAACATCGCCTGCTGGCCGCAAAGTCCGCAGCGACATGCAAGGCGCTCGGCCGGGCCGACACCGGCGCTTCTGGCAGTGCGGTCCCATCGGCATCTGCTTGGAAGACGCTCAAGGCTTCCGTCTTCAAAGCCAGCGCACGCACGAGCAAAAGAGCGTTGCGACGCGAGCTCCAGCGGAGCCCGACTGAGCGCGCAGTTCTGCCGCGCTCCTTGTTGCTAGCCTTGTTCGGCCGGTCGCTCGACCCATCGAGCGAGTCAAAGTCAGCGAATGGTCCGAGGCTCGCTCGTCGGCGTCCTGTGATTGTAAAGCGATGCCCCTGGTGCGGCAAGATCCTGCAGCGACGACGGACACAGCCATCGTCTGCCGGCGAGCCGGCATCGAGTGACCCGCCGCGTCGAGACTCTGCCGTCCGGGTGCGCAGGACGAATGCTGATCAGCTTCCATTCGTTCTTCCTCTGATGTCCACCTCGACCTTCAATCCCCCTCTCGATGCCGGCCCCGTCAACACCACTCCATCTTCGTCCCGCCGGCCGCATCCCTATGCGCTGCTCGGTTCCCTGCGGTCAATCAACACGCATGTGTGTCGGCGCAAATCAAAGAGCTCGAGCGAGTGGAATCGGATCAAATTCATGGTACGTTGTTGCCGACCCTTGCGCCGGCTTTTCCTTGTCGTTGTTGCTGACGTCGCAATTGTTGATACGTGCTCTTGCAGATTTTCGACTCGCCATCGATGGGCTCGAGGCCGGTCGAGGAGCGATGGGCCGAGCTCGAAAAGCGATTCGGATCGACCGATGGTCTCGATATCGATGCCATTCACGGATCGTCGATCAAGCTAGTCCAGCACGTCAAATGCGAGGGCCGCGACCACTTGATCGAACTGATGGAGACTGTCGAGTCGAAAGGCGGAGAAGGGTAAGTGGCAGACACACCTGGCAGCGTGATGAGAGCATGCCCAGCTGACGCTGTCCGAAATCTGCACTATCATCGATAGCCTGATGCTCCGACAACCGGGCTCCAAGTACGAAGGCCGCAGAGGCAACACACTGTTCAAGCTCAAGTCATGGTACGACGCCGAGGCCGAGGTGATCGGCTACGCGAACGGCACCGGTAGGCACGAGGGACGCACCGGCTCGCTCGTCGCGCGCATGGAGTGCGGTACCGTCTTCCGTGTCGGCACGGGCCTCTCGGACGCCCAACGAGACAATCCGCCCCCGATCGGTAGCATCATCAACTACCGCTTCTTTGAGCTTAGCGAGGATGGCTATCCGCGATTCCCAGCCTTCCGCGGCATCGCCTGGGACAAGACCCGGCCCAAAGATGCAGTGCTCAGGCCACGAGCGGGTGTCCCTGAAGACCGTGATGAGTAGTCACTCGACTGAATGTAGCATCGTCAGCGACTGTTGCTTCCCTTTGTGCGGTGTGCATGGTCAGGAGCAGCAACAGCGGTCGCGGTGTGGCCCTGCTCCAAATTTGGACCCGCATGTGGAGCGGGTCGTGCACGGCTGCAGTATGACTGCATGCAACTATGCAGGGCCCATGCTTGACTCCCTCGCTGCGGTGCGGTTGGAGATTCCCCTGCTTTCTGTCCCTAAATCGTGAATTGGGCTCCTGAGGCGATCCGGAAAGGCCGTCATCCGGCGGCCAACAGTGCTGATCCCGGACGGTGTCACAAGGCTCGTGTCATGCAAAGCCTCTTCTTCCCTCCTAACACATACCTGGGCCGGCCGCCTTGCTAACCATTCCCCTTCCTTGGCCGCCTTCCTCCCGCATGGCTCGTTATCCCGACAAGGTTGAGCAGCCATGACGATCACCACCGCCGGTACCGCCGTCAACCTGGCGCCGACGGTCACAAAGACCTTCTTCAAGCACTACTACAAGAAGGCCAAGCGCTCGCTCAAGGGTCGCTCTGGCAAGGGCGGCAATGGTTCGCCCACGCACAATCGGCACAACGCCCTGGACGAGTTCATGTTCGACGAGGCCTTCCACATCGTCAAGGCCTTCATCGAGATCGGCACCAGCGACAGCGTCGAGGCCATCCAGGACTTCACCGACGCCCCTGCCCCGCCCATCCCCTGGGCAACCACGCTGCCCGTGATGATCCCCATGGAAAGCTGCGACAAGGCCGCCAAGCTCATCATCGACCACCTCGGGCCCGAGGACCTGCAAAATCTGGTGGGAGGCGAAAAGTGGTGGCAGCTCCGCGCGATGCCAGGTGTGCAGGGCGAATGGATCGCCATGTCCAACGACTGGAAAAAGATGAAGTCTATGGAGAAGAAGGCTCAGCAGGCCGCTGCCCAGGCTGAGAGCAACAAGACGGACGCTGCCAGCGGCGACCCGAAAGCATCGGCCAAACAGCAGAAACGTCGTAGGAACAAACGACACGAGCGCGCGCTTTCCGAGATTCGGGCCATGCGAGCAAAGACCGAGTCGGCGCTCAAGCGCCGTTCCCAGTCGTTCAAGCGCCCATCGCACGATCGCAAACGTAGTCAGAGTCGGCCTGCCGTACCGGGCGCCCCAGCCCCGCCTGTCGACGATGCAGCATCGGCAGCCTCGAGTGACGCCGAGAATGCACAGCCCACCGACGATGCGACTGACGCAGCATCCGATGCCGAAACCGACCATGGCGATACCGAGTCCGAAGAGCTCGACCGTCTGCAGCGAGTCATGCTCTATTTCCACGGCGGCGGCTACTACTTTGGCTCGCTTGCCACGCATCGATACCAGATTGTGCGCTACGCGCGCAAGTTTGGCGGCAAGTGTTTTGCGCCCATCTACCGCAAGGCGCCGCAGTATCCGTGGCCGTGCGCGCTGCAGGATGCGGTGGCCTCCTACCTCTACCTCATCGATCCGCCCAAGGGTGCCAAGCACCGCCCCGTCGACCCCAAGAAGATCGTCGTGGCCGGCGACAGTGCAGGCGGAGGCTTGAGTCTGGCTCTGCTGACAGTGATTCGCGACATGGGCCTGCCTGCGCCCGCCGGTGCGGTGCTCATCTCGCCCTGGTGCGATCTCACACACTCGTTCCCGTCGATTCTGCAGAACACGGCAACCGACATCATCCCACCATACGGCTTCATCCACAAGCCCTCGACGCTCTGGCCTATCAACGCTACGAAGCCAGAGAACGACGACAAGGGAAAGCAACGAGAAAGCTCCGATGAGCCACAGAGAAAAGTGCCCGTCGGTGTTCAAGACGCAGATTTGCCCAAGAGCGACGCTGAAGCGGACACGGAGCCGGCTGCGCGAAAGAGTCACGATGCTGGCAACTTGCGTCCGTCGCAAGCTTCGGCAAAGCTGGATCAGAGACAGACATCGAGCAGCACCCGAAAGGAGAATGGCGGCGTTCCACCCGCTCCAGACCTGCTCTGGTCGCAGCCGATCAAGATCCAGACCGCCGATGCGGCCAAGCAGGACATCGAGTTACGCGAGCAGATTCAGCTGTACGCGACCAATGACCAGCTCACGCATCCGCTGTGCTCTGCCGTCCTCAGCGGCTCGCTCGGTGGTCTTCCTCCGCTGTACATCCTTGCTGGCGATGCCGAGGTGCTTCGGGACGAGATCGTCTACCTCGCACACCGCGCGGCTCATCCGCAGCGCTACCCGCTGCGCGAGGACCTGCTCGACCATTCGCAGCGCAACCGCGAGAATGCGGCCAAGTACGACTCGCAGCCGACCAAGGTGCATCTGCAGATCTACGACCAGATGTGCCACGTGCTCACCGCGTTTGCATTTACGTCGCAGTCGCGCTTTGCGTACCGCGCGGTGGCCTCGTTTGTCAAGCACGTCACCGGCGCGCCCACCAACATCAAGAATCCCTTCCCCGAGGTGCCGGAGGGCGAGCATGGGCACGACAAGGACGACGAGTGGCACGAAGACGGCGCCGAGAGTGATGATGATGAGATGGACGACAACCTGGGCGGCGAGGTGGTCTCGCCCCCGCTCGCGTCGTCCCTGAAGAGCTCGCAGCCCTCGTTGATGGTGCCTGAGCGCGAAGGAGCGAGCGTAGGCGAGTTGGCGACCACAAGCCTTGATGATAGCGGCAAGGGCGCCTCGCATCTGCGATCAGAGCCGGAGCACATCTCACCAGCCGAGGCGGGGCAAGACGAGCTTGTCAGCAAAGCCGTGGCGAGCGGAGAACACGCCGATGCCGTAGCCGACAAGTCGCGACATCGCTCCGTTTCAAAGGTAGTCAGCGACGCGCTGCACGGTCATCCTAGCGGAAGTCAAGCGACGTCGCGCAGCGGCACGGAACCTTCGCCTACCGCCACGCGGCCTCGACGCGGCACGGGCGATGTGGCGAACGAGTACACAGGCCAGGTTCCGCTTCTGCGGCCGTCGTTCCAGTCGTTTATGATCCGCGAGCGCGTCGACGTGCGCGGCTACTTGCGTCAGCTCGAACCCGAGTCCGATCTTCCTGCGCTCCAGCTGCGTCCTGACCAGATTGGATGTATCAAAGAGGGTCCCGTTGCGCGCTATCTGGACGGGCAAACNTCAGCTCGAACCCGAGTCCGATCTTCCTGCGCTCCAGCTGCGTCCTGACCAGATTGGATGTATCAAAGAGGGTCCCGTTGCGCGCTATCTGGACGGGCAAACGCAGTGGGCGAAACGATACACCAAGACAGCACGCAAGGTGGAGAAGCACCGTGCGCGCAACGAGAAGCTCGCCACGAAGATGCTCGAAGAAGCCGCCGCACAGGGCTTGATGGACCGTGCTGCGCTGCGTAAGCTACATGGCCAGCTGGTTCGCAAAGCCAGTAGTGGCGCAACCGAGCCCGGTGCAGTGTCGGCACCGTCTTCGACTTCGCGCGGGCTGGGACTGAGTGCTGGCGACGTTGCGACGGGAGCCGACCGGTGCCGGGAAAAATGGAGCTGGCTGGTCGATTTTGGACCGATGGATCTGGTTGACGAAACGCCCCCGCCTGCAGCAGTGGCAGGAAGAAGGGACACCAACGATGCGCTGTTGTTGCTGCGCAAGTCGCTCCAGATCCGCGCGCGCGCCTACGGCGTCCAGCGCAAATCACGCTTCTGGGGCGCAGAAGATCGCCCCGTCCGTGCTCATCTGCGCGCCACCACCGAGGAACACCAACCCGGATCAGCCGCAAGCGGAGATCACTCTTCCACTCACCACCACAGAGGCCTCCGCGTCTGGAACCTGCTCATGGTCAAGAAACCGCCGTCGGTGGCCTCGAGCAAGAAGCCAGGCAAGCCCTAGTCCGCCTAGGCGATCATTGCCGCACAGTGATTCGACACGTTTTATGAAGAAACCAGGCGTGAAAGGGCTGGGACGTGATTGAGTTGCAGATGTGAATAACGATAGCGAAAGGATATACAAGCGGTTGAAGGTGTCAAGGTTGGCGCATTGCTCCGGGATCCAGGAGAGATGCGTGTTGCTATTCCCCATGGCGGATAGGTAAGATGGGGTGAAGAGAGTTTCGACGTGACGCAGAGTATCACTTCTTGGCAGGCGAGGTGGGAGTGCCGCCGAGCTTTCTGGTGACCTTGGTGGGCGCGGGTCCGCTGGATTCGGCTGCAGCCTCCTCCTCTGCAATGTCGCTGACTCTGCTTCCAGCAGGCTTGGACGCTCCCGGGACTCGTGCGGAAGCATTCGGCTGAGGCTGCGAGGAGGACGGGGCGGCTGCAGCGGCGGCGCGTGCATTTCGCTCCGCGTCTGCGCGGTACACGGCAGCTTCCTCCTCGGGCGAGAGCGGCAGAGCGATGCGACCCTCCTGTCGCGCCTTGATGCGCCTCCATGCAACGCCTGCCACGAGCGCAACAGCCTGAAGCGAAATGCTGAGAATGATGGCGGCGGTGAGAGGGGCCGGACGTGGCTCTCCGTCATCGCGGCCGCCGATGAGGCTAAAGTGCTTGTGCCACAGCAGGCCAATGTTGAGGTAGATGCCGGCGGCAGTCCAGGTGAGGTCGGCTGTGGCAAAGATCCAAAGAGCGGAGAAGACGCCGAGGCCAGCTACGATGCCAAAGGCAGGCCAGAGGCCCTGGACGAGCGCGTCGTGGCCACCGGAGCCAAAGTCGTAGCCGAGCGCCATGAAGAGCTGCTGCCAGAGGTCGTACTGGAGCGTGATCACGAGGAACATCTTGATGGGCACGTGGATGAAGAGCCAGTCGAGCGGATGCTTGGCCGAGGGTGGGTAGCGGACGGCGAGGACGAGCGCGTTGAAGAGGAGCAAGAGTGCAATGACGCCGAGGGTGGCCGTGCCAAGAATGAATGTGAGGGGGCGGTCGAGGATCCAAAAGACAGCCCAGAGGACCATGAGGTAGTTGGAGAGGGCGAGACGCGTGCCGACGCCGTGGACGAGCGCCTTCTTGGTCTCTGGCGTTCGACTGAGGAGGAGGAAGACGGAGAATCCGATGAGGAGGACGTAGAGGATGGCCCAGTAGAAGAGCACGAACGAGTCCTGCACGGAGAGGTAGGTGGGATGACGGCGCGAGACCTGCTGCAAGTTGGGCTTGATGAGCTTGGAGCCGCAGAGGATCATGACGCCCATCTGGAGGAGCACCGAGAGGGGCGTGAGGATCTGCATCCGGGTGAGCGACTTTGTTTCGTTGGCATCCATGGTGGAGGAGAGCTGGCGGTAGCGACGGGAGAGGCCGGAAGCGGCGATGTTGGGGTTGGATGGCACCTCGCTGTCTGCGCGAGCCTGGTCTGCGTGCTCGGGATCTTCGGGGCGGAAGATGTAGTCGGGTTGAGGCTGCGGCTGGCTGGCGTTACTAGGCATGTTCCTGCCCAGGCGATCGACACGGGATGGACGACAGCACGAGCGAGCGGGGCAGAGCACCGAGGTATACACTGGATTCTTGATGGTGGTCACGGTAATGGTAGCGAACAAGGGCGTCAGTAAGGCTAAAACTGAGGGACGCCCGTGCGGCCAGGCGATCTAATTTTGGCCAAAGAGAGGGAGAGAGGGAGAGAGAGTGGAGGAGCGACGGCTCGGCATCGCAGCTGCAGCTCTGCAGCCCTGCATTCCAACGCGCCCATCCGACGCCGTTCGCCGCTCGATGACGCCGACAGAATCGCCATCCTCTGGGCGTACATTTCCATGCCAAGCCCTGCCCATCTGCCGATTCGGTCAGTGATAATCTGCATCGGCGATATCTTACGCTTTCCCTCCACATCCCCACCGAGCGCCTCGAAGGTGCGTGGAGGTGGAGGAGCAGAAGCGCGCATGAACCGCTTTAGCGCCGTTGCGGGCTTCGCTTCACCGCGGACGCCGATGCCAACAAGTGTTTCCCGTTCCGCACTTGACCGTGTTGGATCGGACTTAGCAGCTGTCACTCCACTGCGATCTTGAGGGAAGAAGGGCCGTGCAGAGGGGACTCGCTGAGATCCCATGGCACAGCGAAGCGCCCGAGCATAAGCGCCTTCGCTCGTTGCACAGTGATGGTGGTCATTTCACGAAGAATCTTCTCACGCCGCACTGGACAGCTGCCCGTGCCAGGCGTCCTTACAGCTCCAGCGCCCGAGCGGGTTGTGATGGTGCTGGATCTAGGGTGACCGGAGGTGAGTCGGTCGGATTTGCATATAAACTTCGTGACGCTCCCCTACGTTGCTCCATCATACCTCACATCTGTCCCTCACCAACACTTCCTCTCTCATACGTATACAAGATGGGTCTCTTTGATATTGAAAAGCCGATCTCGAAGCTCGACCGCCACCGCGTGCTTGCGCCCAAGGCGGGCGTGCGCGTCTCGCCTCTCTGTCTTGGTGCAATGTCGCTCGGCGACAAGTGGAAGGACACCATGTCTGGCGGTCTGGACAAGCAGGGCAGCTTCGAGCTGCTCGACGCCTTCTACAAGCTCGGCGGCAACTTCATCGACACGGCCAACCTCTATACCGACGGTCAGAGCGAAGAGTTCATTGGCGAGTGGATGGAGGCACGAAAGAATCGCGACGAGATGGTCATCGCCACCAAGGCCACATCCCCCTACCGCAACCGCGAGCTCGGCACCCACATCGGCACCAACTTTGTCGGCAACTCGGCCAAGTCCATCGCCGTCTCCACCAACGACAGCCTCAAGAAGCTGCGCACCGACTATATCGACATCATGTACATCCACTGGTGGGACTGGTCCACCAGCATCGAGGAGATGATGCAGGCGCTCAACAAGCTCGTCCTGTCGGGCAAAGTGCTCTACCTCGGCGCCAGCGACATGCCCGCCTGGGTCGTCGCCGCCGCCAACACCTATGCGCGCGCACACAACCTCGCCCAATTCGTCGTCTACCAGGGCCGCTGGAACGCCGCTGAGCGCGACTTTGAGCGCGAGATCATTCCCATGGCGCGCGAGTTCGGCATGGCCCTTGCTCCGTGGGGCGCGCTCGGCGCAGGTCGATTCAAGACGCCCGAGCAGGTCGCCGAGCGTGAGAAGACGCAGGGCCCGCTGCGTGGCGGCGGAGGTCAGCTCACCGAGAATGAAAAGAAGATCTCGGCAGCGCTCCACCAGATCGGCCAGGAGCTCGGCGGCATCAGCATCACTGGCGTCGCGCTCGCCTATGTCTGCTCCAAATACCCCTACGTCTTCCCCATTGTCGGCGGCACCAAGGTTTCGCACCTCGAGGATAACGTCAAGGCCATCGGCATCGTCCTCAACGACGAGCAGATCAAGAAGATCGAAGACACTATCCCCTTCGACCACGGCTTCCCCCTCTCCATGATCCAGGAGGACCCGCATCTCACGGGCGAGACCAAGTTTGGCCTTCTCGGCCATGGCGGCCATCTCGACTGGGTCAAGCACCCCAAGGCGCCCGCCTTTAAGTAATTGATTCTCTTCTTGCATTTGAGAATATATGATCGCGCAGAAGTGATCTCTGTGACAGCCGTGCGGAGTGAGTTGTGGAATAGGAACGTCAACGCTGATCACAAGGTTGCCAGGGTCCGCTATGAATTCTTGAGAGCGGCCTCCGAGCATCCGTGGCTCGGCCTTCGCCGAGCGCCTTTTTTTGACTGGGCGGCCCCGCGGCATTTGCAAGTCGCACGCGACAGCTGGCCTCGTGCGACCAAAAGCTTGATTGAGAATCCTCTTTGTGTCCCGCCACCACTCTCTGCCACACTTTCATCATAGACCCCTTGGAGCAGAATGTCGACGCCGCTGGACATAGATGCCTACCGACAGTCTGTCGAATCGCTCAAGGCGCAGGAGGCGGCGCTGCGATACGACCACGATGCGCTCTTGCACATGACCGAGGACGAAGCGCGCGCCAATGCCATCTTTACTCGCCTGCGCGACGCCGAGGTGCAGGCACGCTGGGAGAAGGAGGGCGATCTGGACAACTTTGCCGGCATGGACTTCTACGGTGCACGACAGAATGGACTTGGCCACCACGAGCCCACGCCGGTTTGGGATGCCATCCACCGCATGCCCAAGGGCGCGTTACTGCACTGCCACTTTGACGGAACTGTCGACACGCGCTTCCTGCTCGAGCACGCGCGCAACACGCCCAACATGGCAATGAAGGCGGACCGGCCGTTGTCGAGCCCGGAGGCGCTGTGGAAGGCCACCGTCGAGTTCCTCGTACTGCCGTCAACGCAGGAACGCGCGGCGACGAGCATCTACTCGGACGAGTACGTGGCTGGAACGTGGGTCAGTTTCCACACCGCCCGCGAGACCTTCCCCTATCCGCACCCGTATCTCTCGGAACAGTACGACCAAGAGTCCAAACTGCCCAACTACCTCTTTCCGTCCTCGAGCAGCGCGTCGGCGTCCAAGACCAATGGGCACGCAGCGGAAAGGGCTACGTTCGACAGCGGGCTGTCGTTCGAAGCATTCGCCCATGCACTCATGACGCTCACGCCACACTCGGCAGCACCGGCGATCGTCAACAGCAAGCAGGCATGGGCCAAGTTCCAGTCGACGTTCGGGGTGATTGCAGGCCTGATCGGATACGAACCCACTCTCAAGGCGTATACCAAGGAGCTTCTGCGCTCGCACGCGCGCGACGGCATCTCGTACACCGAGACCCGCATCAACTTCCTGACCGAGTTCATGGTGCGGGCGGACGGCACACCTGATCTCAACCACGAAGAATGGGTGCGCATCTTCATCGAGGCTGTCAACGAGGTCAAGGCCGAGATCACCGAAGGCAGCTTTGTCGACGCTAAGATCATCTACACGACGGTGCGTTTTGTCGACAACGAAAAGCTGCGGTGGTACCTCGAGGACTGTCTGACGCTCAAGAAGAAGTTCCCCGAGTGGATCGTGGGGTTCGATCTGGTCGGTCACGAGGATCCGCTGCTTCCGCTCAAGGTGTACATCCCGGAATTGCTTCGTTTCCAACAGAGGTGCAAGGAGGAAGGTGTCGAGATTCCGTTCGTCTTCCACGCAGGCGAGACGCTCGAGGACGGTGGAGATGCCGACTTGAACCTGTACGATGCTGTTGTGCTGGGTACGAAGCGCATCGGACACGGCGTCAGTCTGGCGCGACACCCGATGCTGACAGACATGGTCAAGGAGCGCGACATCTGCGTCGAAATCTGCCCCATCTCCAACCAGATCCTCGGCTACACGGCGAGCATGAGCTCGCACCCGAGCTTACTCGCGCTGCTCCATCGTAACGTTGCCGTGGCTCTGTCGTCGGACGATCCCAGCATCTTTGAAAACTTTGGCCTCTCGTACGACTTTTACCAGCTCGCCATCAGCTCCAAATCGACATCGCTGGTCTCGCTCGCAGTGCTCGCCCGTCGATCGCTCAAGTACTCGCTGGTGGGCGAAAAGACGAAAGCTACAATGCTCGCCGACTTTGAAAAGAGGTGGAACGCCTTCCTCGCCTGGTTCCTTCTCGAACACGGCCACGTACTGCAGAACTGAGCCAACCCGTCCTAGATACTGCTCGATCTAGTTGTCATGCCGGAAATGTCGTAGTTAATGCATATATTTGGTATACAGACGCTGTTGATCGGGACCAAGCCAGTGTAAAAGAAATCTCTGAAGGCAGTTGTGGAACCCGATTGTGCTGCAAAACGGGACGCACGCCTCAAGGGGCGCGGATGGTGGCTTTGGAAAGCAGATACTCGTACGGGGCGGCGCAGGCGTCGACGGCGCCCTGGAGGTGCTCTGCGATCTTGGGCTTGGGCTTGTCGGCCTTGGCGGCGTCTGCGGGCGCCTCCTTCTTGAAGCCGGTCGAGNCGACGGCGCCCTGGAGGTGCTCTGCGATCTTGGGCTTGGGCTTGTCGGCCTTGGCGGCGTCTGCGGGCGCCTCCTTCTTGAAGCCGGTCGAGTTCTCGGCTGCGTTGTGGTATCCGCCCCACTTTGCCCATTCGTCGACGGGGCCCGAGTCCCAGCTGAGCATCTCGGGCGAGAAGGGGATGCCCATGGCTTGGCAGTAGGTCTTGATGGCGTGGTCGGGGTGTGCGAGCAGCGTGGATGCGTCGAGGAGAGGAGGAGGCTGGGGCTGCTCGACGGCCAACTCGTCGCCCTTTTCGGTGTTGAAGGTGGAGTCCGGGTTGGAGATCCAGTCGTACAGGATCTTGAGCTCGATGTAGCCGGCATCGGCCTGGTCCCAGAATTCCCAGCCGGACGCGCCTTCCTGGACGCACTTCCAGTAGCTTGGGATCGACTTTTCGGGTGTGCGGATGAGGAACGAATGCCGGAAGCGCTTCAGAATCGCAGTGGGAACGGTGGTCGGGTTCTCGATGACCGGCGCGTTGGCGTCGAAGGGTTTCGACGAAGCAGAGCCGTCGGCAGGCGCGGGGAAGACCTTCGAGTCGGGATGAAGCTGGTGGAGCAGATCGGCGGGGAAGAGGCATTGGCCCATGTCCTTGAGGAAGACGTACTTGGGCGGCCATGCCTTGTTTTTGGCGAGGTCCTCCTTGGTCGGGTTGAGCACCTTTTCGAGCACTTCGGTGACGGTGAGGTCGTAGTTTCCGGACTCTTTTGCCTTTTCTTCCGAGAAGCGGCGGCAAGGGCGGTTCTTGCCGAGGTAGAAGGGATCTCCGATGGGTTCGTGGAAGACGACGGTGTCTGGGCGCTGCATGAGCGAGCGCTCGAATGCGGTGGAGCACGAGCGCGGGTGCACCCAGATGACGATGGGAAGCGGCTGTTCGGAAGACGACATGGTTTCGGGAGCTGTGAGACGAAGCCAACGAGATGGTGGGAAGGAAGGAGGAGTAGCGGCGAGCAGACCTGTCACGAGACACTCCTCGAGCTTTGGATCAAGCGCACAGAGCGAATTCGACAACAGCCGCGATTGCGAGCTTCACTGGCGGAAAACTCATGAAGATCCCGGAATCGCATGGGCCGTGGCCATCCGGTGTTGGAAGAAGCGAGGTGTGGAAGAGGGCACATGGTCCGTGTACCTGCTTCGACAGTCGCCAGGTGAGCGCATTCGATGCGAGGCCA